GCTCTTAGGCAGAAGCTCTTCCCTGTGAGGGTGCTGAGGCGCTGGCACAGGGTGCCCAGAGAAGCTGTGGCTGCCCCATCCCTGGCAGTGCTCAAGGACACAGGGGCTTGGAGCAAGCTGCTCCAGTGGAAGGGGTTGGAGTTGGAGCTGGAGGAGCCTTCAGCTGCCTTCCAACCCAAACCTTTCCATGACTATGATTCCATTGGGCATCCACCTGGACCACCTGTATGGTCCCTTTCAGAGCACTTTCCTGGGAGGCTTGGCTATGGCCAGCTCTCACTGTTAGTGTAGGTCAGCTGCATACGTGCTGCAGACACAACGTCCATCACCAGCTGCCCTCAAAGGGGAGATGGAAGCTTAGTTTCCATAGGATCATTGCCTCCACGCAGCCTTCTCTTCTCCAGGCTGAACAGCCCCAGTGCCCTCAGGCTGGCTCCATACAAGAGCATCCTCGTGGCCTCTGACCTCACTCCAACAGCTCCACATCCTTGTGCTCTGCCCCAGTGCCAGTCCTTATCCCCAACTGAACCTCCTCTGTTTCACTCTGAACCCATCACCCTTGTCCCATCGCTCCAGTCCCTATGAAGAGCCCTCCCCAGCATCCCTGCATCCCCTTCACACACTGAAGCTGCTCTGAGCTCCCCACACAGCCCCAGTGCCCCCAGCCTGGCTCCATCCGGAGCTGCTCCAGCCCCGCAGCATCCTCGGGGCCTCCTCTGGACCCGCTCCCCACTGAGGAGGCCCCGAGGGCTCTGTTCCTTGCGGAGGCAGCTCCAGGGCTCACCTCGGATGAGCTCGGTCCAGAGCAGGGTCTGTGCCGCGCGGTCGGTGATGGAGCGCATGTCCATGGCCGGCTCCTGCACGTTGACGTACTCTGGGGGGAGAAGGGAGCTGGGCCCACCCCACGGAGCAGCTGCTGTGGGGCAGGGATGGGGCAGCCTGTCCTTTACTCACTGTAGCAGCCCCTGCGGGGGGTGGTCCCGACCAGGCGCAGGTAGCCCAGAGGGGCTGGAGGGCCTGGGGGGGTGTGAAGAGAGAAGGGTCAAGGGGGTGTTGGTGGGGGACAAGGGGGTTGATGGGGGGGTGATAGGGGAGTAAAAGGGGGGCAATGGGGTCCCGGTGGGGGCTCACCTGGGTGGGCAGCCCGGGACACCAAGCGCAGCGCAGCCATATCCGGTCCTGCAGCCACAGAGGGGCCTGGCCTGGTGCTCACCACCGATTGGGACACCCCCCCCCCCAATTCCCATAAGATACCCGGGTATCCCCCCCCAAGAGACCCAGGGGGCTTGTTCCACCCCCCCACCCTCCCCATGACACCCAGGGGTTCTCTGCCCCCATAAGGGACCAAGATATTCACACACCCCCCATAGCACCCAGGGGTCCCAATACCCTCCCCTCAAGGGACCCATGGATCCTGCCCCCCATAGGGACTGGGGTACCCCACCACCCACCCCCAGGGGTCCTGGACCCCCAACAAAACACACTGGGGTCCTAACCACCCCCTCAGGCAACCCAGGGGTCTTCTCCCCATACAAGACAATGAGGTACCCCCCCCCAGGGGTCCCAATATCCCCCCATAACAGACCCAGGGGTCCCAATATCCCCCCATAACAGACCCAGGGGTCCTGCCCCCCCCAATAAGAGACTCAGGGCCCTGTCACCCCCCCACACCCTCCCAACAGACCCAAGGATCCCAACACCCACCCCAAAGGAACCCTGGGGTCTTCCCCCCCCCCCCCGCCATGGGTCCTGACCCCCTCCATGTTCCATAAAAGACCCGGATGTCCTTCCCCCCCCCCGTACCCCTTTAATGCCCCCATTCAGCCTCCCCTGCCCCACAGCACCCCAAGGCCCAACTGCCACCCCCCTTATGGGACCAGGCGCATGCCCCCGGGGGGGCCCATCCAGCCCCTGCTCTAAGCGGGTTCCGGGGCCCTCCATAGGCCCTCATAGACCTCCATGGCCCTCCATAGGCCCTCACAGACCACCATAGCCCTCCATAGACCCTCATAGACCTCCATGGCCCTTCATAGACCCTCATAGACCTCCGTAAACCTCCACGGCCACCGGGGGGGCCCCATAAGGGCCTGGGCCCCCCCTCCGCTCACCTCCCGCAAGGACCCCGCCGTCCTGACCCCGGCCGCCCCCGGGCCGCACTGCGCAGGCGCGAAGCGGCGGCGAAGGACATCGGGCGGGGCCTCAGCGGGAAGGGCGGAGCTAAGCTCGCTTCCCATTGGCTGAGTCCCGCCGCGCAAAGGAAGGGGTAGGATGGAGGGAGCCGTGGATTGGCCTGTGAGGCGGCGAAGCTGGGCGGTGATTGGCTAGAGGGTGAGGAGAGGCGGGGCTAAGCCTTAGGCCGGTGTTGATGGCGGCTGCGGTCGCGGTGGGTGCGTGGGTCGCGGGTTCGAGACCGGGCACCGGCGGTCCGGGGGCGGCACCGGAGGAGGGCACCGAGCGCGGCCCCGCTGCAGGCGGGTCGGAGGCACCGGAATCCCCGGGACCGGCCCTAGGATGACAGCGGGGCCATGGGCAGGGTCCCGAGCGGTGCGGTACCGGTGCCCCCAGTGCAAGGACCCGGAGGTGATGGAGAGAGCGCAGGGGAGCCCCGAGGATGCTGCGGGGCTGGAGGAGCTCCGGATGGAGCCAGGCTGGGGGCACTGGGGCTGCGTGGGGAGCTCAGAGCAGCTTCAGTGTGTGAAGGGGATGCAGGGATGCTGGGGAGGGCTCTTTATAGGGACTGGAGCGATGGGACAAGGGGTGATGGGTTCAGAGTGAAACAGGGGGGATCCAGGTTGGATGTAAGGAACGAATTCGTCACTATGAGGGACATAGGAAGGGGCTTGGAGCAAGCTGCTCCAGTGGAAGGGGTTGGAGCTGGAGGAGCTTTAAGGTCCCTTCATCCCAGCCCATTCCATGGTTCCATGATCCCAGCATCAGCCCAGGCACCAGGCTCAGACCGGCTCCAATAACAGACCCATCACTGGGTGATGCTCAGCAGCACTTACCCCTGCTCGAGGAGGTTCCAGCCTCTCCTGCTCTGCCAGGGAGCTGGGAGCAGAGACAGGAACCTGCCCCGAGCTATCCCAAGGGATATTCCATATTAAATATTCCATACTGGATATTCCATACATGCCATGGCCAGTATAGAAAAGGGGGGACGGGACTGACTGGGAGCTGTGCATCCCTTGCTGTGTTTCTCCGTTTCCTTTTATCCCTATATTTCCTGTGCTCCATCACTCAACTGTTCTCTCATCCCTCGGTTTTCCCGTTCTCCTTCCCATCCCACCATTGGGAAGGGACTGCTTGGATCGGAATTAAACCCTCCCATCCGGATGGGACCTGAGGATGCTGCTGCTGCCGGCCCAGCTCTGCAGGAGGAGAGGACCCAGCGGCTGCTCCTGGCTGCAGATGGAGGTGGTGGCAGCATCCGTGCTGGACCCTGAGGATGCGCCTGAAGATCCCTCCTCCCGGATGATGGGGTTATCCCATTGCATCTCCAGCACCACCCGGGCCATATTCTGCCCATCACAGGGGTTCTTGTCCTCTGCTGGCACCATGATTCTCCCCATAGAGGTGCTGCCCGAGGGCAGCGTGAGCCCAGTGGGGTCAAAACCACCCCAGGAATCAACATGGGGCCCACAGGGGCAGCCCCATGGCTGTGGTCCTGCCATGGAAAGGATGGGATGGGACAGGAGCATCCCTGTGGGATGTACGGATAAAGAAGCCCCTTTAGGTCCGGTCTTCCAGTGCCTAAAGGGGCTGCAGGGAACCTGGAGAGGGGCTTGGGACAAGGGCCTGTAGGGACAGGCCAAGGGGAATGGCTTGAACCTGCCCAATCCATGCAAGACAAGGGGCAAAGGGGACTGGGATGAGCCCAGCTCCAGGACTGGGGAGCAGAACATCGCTATGGGCCTTCCCAAAGGGTGAACTGCCAAAGGGCATCAGCCAGAGCCCTTCCGCCCCTCTGCCATGGCCAGCAGTGATGGGAACAGGGACCAGTGGGACCCTTCCGCTCCCTCCTGCACCCCCACCAGCTCCCAGTGCACCTTCCGAGGTCCTCCCTCTTCCTGACCCCCATCTCCATCCCATACCCTGATGGGACGGAATGAATGGGATGGGATAGAATGGGTTTTAATGGGATTGGATGGAATGGGATGGACTGGAATGGGATGTGATGGATTGGATGGTATGGGATGGAATGGGTTTTAATGGGACTGAATGGAATGGGATGGACTGGAATGGGATGGGATAGAATGGGTTTTAATGGGATTGGATGGAATGGGATGGACTGGAATGGGACGGGATGGATGGGATGGGATGGAATGGAATGGGTTTTAATGGGATTGGATGGAATGGGATGGACTGGAATGGGACGGGATGGATGGGATGGGATGGAATGGAATGGGTTTTAATGGGATTGGATGGAATGGGATTGGATGGAATGGGATGGGATGGGATGGAATGGGTTTTAATGGGACTGGATGGAATGGGATGGACTGGAATGGGATGGGATAGAATGGGTTTTAATGGGATGGGATGGATGGGATGGGATGGAATGGAATGGAATAGGTTTTAATGGGATGGACTGGAATGGGATGGGATAGAATGGGTTTTAATGGGATGGACTGGAATGGGATGGGATAGAATGGGTTTTAATGGGATGGACTGGAATGGGATGGGATAGAATGGGTTTTAATGGGATTGGAGGGAATGGGATGGACTGGAATGGGATGTGATGGAATGGGCTGGGATGGATGGGATGGGATGGAATGGGTTTTAATGGGATGGGATGGAATGGGATAGGATGGAATGGTTTGGAATGGGATGGGATGAACTGGAATGGGATCGGATGGAATAGAATGGGATGGGATGGGATGGGATGGGATGGGATGGGATGGGATGGGATGGGAAGCACGCAGCCTCACCGGACGGAAGGCAACACCTTCACCGCCCACGGGCACCAGTGCCAGCAGGGAGGGATGCAAGCGGCTGGGGGATGCTCAGAGCAGGGTGCAGGAGCCCTTGTGCTTCACCCCAGCAGCAGCGCAGACGATGCCCACCCTGTGCTGGCTGTAGGGGGGGTAGCGCAGGGCGTTGAGGGCCTCCAGGCCCATGCTGCGGTGCAGGCACCCGCGCTGGTGGCTGAAGGTGTCGAAGGTGAACTTGCCGTGGTACTTGCCCAGCCCGCTGCCCCCTGGAACACAGCACAGGGCTCCAGGCGGCGGCTGGATGGGGGCAGCCTTCATCCCATCCTGTATCCCCAGCTGGTACAGGACCCTCTGGGGGGGTGCTGAGGCGCTGGCACAGGGTGCCCAGAGAAGCTGTGGCTGCCCCATCCCTGGCAGTGCTCAAGGACACAGGGGCTTGGAGCAAGCTGCTCCAGTGGAAGGGGTTGTGGTTGGAATGGGATGAGCTTTAAGGTCCCTTCCAACCCAAACCACTTGGGGATCCTATGATACTTAAGCTCCTCTCATAGGGCAGCCGGTGATGGAGACTTGTGCCTGGCACCACATCTTCATCCAGCTGCTTTCTACCACCAGCATCATGGGGAGCGCTGGCCATGGCCAAGCCTCCCAAGAAAGTGATTTAAAGGGGACCATGCAGGTGGCCTACACGGATGCCCAAGTGGAATCATGGAATGGGTTGGGTTGGGAGGGAGCTTAAAGCCCATCCAGCTTCAACCCCTTCCACTGGAGCAGCTTGCTCCAAGCCCCTGTGTCCTTGAGCACTGCCAGGGATGGTCTCAGGCTCAGCTCACAGCGGTCATGGGGCTTGCACCCACCGATGCCACCGAAGGGCAGCGAGGTCAGGATCATGTGCATGAGGGTGTCGTTGCTGCAGAAGCCACCGCTGCTCGTGCGCTCCAGGACCTGGGCCACCACCTGCGAGGGCAGCAGAGGAGGTGGAGGTGAGGCTTGGAGCCTGCTTCCAGCCCCAGCCCTTCCCCACAGCCCCATGGCCGTACCTGTTCATCAGAGGAGAAGACATACACAGCCAGCGGCCGCTCGCGGCTGTTGATGAACTCAATGGCTTCATCCACACTGGCCACAATGACAATGGGCAGGATGGGGCCGAGGATGATCTCCTGCATGATGGGATCCGAGGGCTGCACGTCCACCAGGACAGTGGGAGCTGCGGAGACACCACCCCAATGGCAGCAGAGGTTGGAGGTGACGCCTTGGTCCTCTCCCCACAGCTCCTCTGTGGAAGGGCAATGCATCCAGCTGGAGGGAAGGAATGCCATCCAGAGGGACCCTGACACACTTGTGAGCTGGGCTGATGTCAACCTCATGGAGTTTAACCATGCCAAGTGCAAGGGCCTGCTCCTGGGTGGGAGCAATCCCAGGCCCAGCTACAGGCTGGGAGGGAAGAGATTCAGAGCAGCCCAAGGAGAAGGACTTGGGGGTGCTGGTCCATGAGAAAATGAACATGAGCTGGCTTCAGTGTGCGCTTGAGCCCAGAAACCAACCCTATCCTGGGCTGCATCCAAAGGAGCGTGACCAGCAGGTCCAAGGAGCTGATCCTGCCCCTCTGCTCTGCTCTCGTGAGTCCTCCCCTGGAGCATTGTGTGCAGTTCTGGTGTCCTCAGCATAAAAAGGACATGGAACTGTTGGAACAAGTCCAGAGGAGGCCACGAGGATGCTCAGGGGCTGGAGCAGCTCCTGTATGGAGATAGGCTGAGAAAGTTGGGGCTGTTCAGCCTGGAGAAGAGAAGCTGCATGGAGACCTCAGAGCAGCTTCCAGTGTCTGAAGGGGGCCTATAGGGATGCTGGGGAGGGACTCTTCATTAGGGACTGCAGTGACAGGACAAGGGGTAATGGGTTCAAACTGAAACAGGGGAAGTTTAGATTGGATCTAAGGAGGAAATTCTTTCCTGTGAGGGTGGTGAGGCACTGGAATGGGTGCCCAGGGAGGTTGTGAATGCTCCATCCCTGGCAGTGTTCAAGGCCAGGTTGGACAGGGCCTTGGGTGCCATGGTTTAGAGTGAGGTGTCCCTGCCCATGGCAGGGGGTTTGGAACTGGATGATCTTAAGGTCCTTGCCAACCCAAACTATTCTATGGTTCCCATGAGACGCTTCCCAGAGCATCCCCTCCATCCAGAACCTCCCCATCACTGACGGGACCCTCCCCAGGACCCAAGCTCAAGGATGCAGACGCAGCCCTCACCGATGTACCGCTCCTCCTCCTCCGCCTGCCCGCCGATGGCCACCCTCCCGCTGCGCAGCAGCATCCGGATGCGCTGGAATTCCTTCTGGTCCACGATGCGCCCCAGGTCGGGCGATCCCCGAGGGTCGGAGCCGTAGAACTCGGTGATGGCCTCGCGCAGGGCGGGCAGCAGCTTCTCCTGCAGCTCCAGGCTGCAGAGCACGTAGTCGGGGGCCACGCAGGTCTGCCCCGCGTTGAAGAAGCGGCCCCAGGCCACCCGCCGGGCCACGCTGCGCACGTCGCACGGCTCCGACACGTAACAGGGGTTCTTGCCCCCCAGCTCCAGTGTCACTGGGGTGAGGTGCTGGGCAGCGGCTGCCATCACCGCCCTCCCCATGGGCGGGCTGCCTGCGGGCAAGGGATTGATGCAGCAGGTGCAGGACCCCACCATGGTCACAAACCCAGGTCCCCCAATGCCGTGGGTCCGGGGTGGCCTCGGCAGTGCTGGGGTAAGGTTGGATGTGATGGTCTCAAAGGTCTTCTCCAACCTGGTGGGTTCTGTGGGTCTATGCTACAGCCCAACCCGTGCCCTTCCCTTCATTGGAAAGGGATGATCCAAAGGTCCTTTCCAACCCAAGGCATTCAATGAGGAGCCAGGAGAGCCGTGTCGAGCCCCACTCCTGTCCTGCACCCACCTCAGTGGAGGCTGAGCCCTCATCTCCATCCCCACCATGATGTCCCCCAGTTCACCCATTACGAACCCGAGTTACGGCTATGAGATGCTCAGACATCCCGACACCAGATCCCCAGCACAATGGGCCCTATCTTCATAGCGGACCAGTAAGGGGATGCTGCCCAGCAACTCACATGGATGGGAAAGGTAAGGAGCAGCGAGGGGTTCAGCGGACCCCCCATCCCACACTGCACCAAGGCCAGGGCAGGCTCTGCTCTGCACGTACCAGTGAAGAAGATGTAGTCAAACTTGTTCTCCAGCAGCCTCGTGGTCTCCTGAGGACCGGCGGTCACCACGGCAAAGCAGTCCTGCAATGCAAGAGGAAGGGTCCCCCATGCTCAGCATCACCCACGTCTGTGGTGTCCCCATCCCCACCAGCAGCATCCCGGGCATGTGGACACCAGTGTTAGGAGGCACAGCAGCAGCTCAGAGCAGTGCTGCTGAGGGCAAGGCAGGGTTGGGAGCCCCATGGCCCTCAGCAGGGACAGGGGAAGGGCAGGAATTGCTCCTTACTGTATCCAGGTAACCGGGCAGCGCTTCCACCATGAGTTTCTCAACGTTCTTGGTCATCTCGGAGGGCTTGAGGACAGCGCAGTTACCTGGGGGGAGATGGAGAGGACATCACTGCAGTGACCGGTGACAACCAGCCCTTGGGGCACCCCAGCCTGGATGCTTCAGCTCACCAGCAGCGATGGCCCCAATGAGAGGCCCCAGGAGGAGGCTGACGGGGCAGCACCACGGCCCCATGATGAGCACCACCCCATAGGGCTCCTTGCGGATGAAGGCAGAGTCCAGGTGCGTGGCCTGCAGGACACCCCCCTCGTGAGGACCCCATCTCCTCGCTGCAGGCCCCATCGCACCCAGCTCTGTGCAGGGTGTGGGTCCCGGCCCCATCCTCTCCCTGCTCTCACCAGGTTCCTCTCCACGGGCTCGTCCTTCATCCACTGGCTGAGGTTGTTCAGCGCCGCGTGGAGCTCGTTCTTGCACAGGAGGATCTCGGCCAGTTGGGCTTCAAAGGGGGGCTGAGCACAGGGAGCCATTATCCCTATATATACACACCTTATCCCTATATACACCTTATCCCTATATACACCTTATTCCTATATATATACACCTTATCCCTATATACACCTTATCCCTATATATATACACCTTATCCCTATATACACTTTATCCCTATATATACACCTTATCCCTATATATACACCTTATCCCTATATATATACACCTTATCCCTATATATATACACCTTATTCCTATATATACACCTTATCCCTATATATATACACCTTATCCCTATATACACCTTATCCCTATATATATACGTTATCCCTATATTCACCTTATCCCTATATATACACCTTATCCCTATATATACACCTTATCCCTATATATATACACCTTATCCCTATATATACACCTTATCCCTATATATACACCTTATCCCTATATACACCTTATGCTGATATATATACCTTATCCCTATATACACCTTATCCTATATACACCTTATCCCTATATATACACTTTATCCCTATATATACACCTTAACCCTATATACACCTTATCCCTATATATATACACCTTATCCCTCTATATATACGCCTTATCCCTATATATACATTATCCCTATATATATACACCTTATCCCTATATATATACACCTTATCCCTATATACACCTTATCCCTATATATATACACCTTATCCCTATATATATACACCTTATCCCTATATATATACACCTTATCCCTATATACACCTTATCCCTATATA